TCTTGCTGCGGTAACAACTTACTACAAACTGGGCAGCTTGAAACAACATACAAATTCATTATGTTACAGTCCTGGAGGTCAGAATTCCAAAATGGTCCTCACTGGCTTATAACCGGAGTGTTGGCAGGGCTCTGTTCCTTCTTGAGTCTTGAAGGGGGGAAATTTGTATCCTTGCCTTCTTTGGCTTTCAGAAATTGTCTACATTTCCCTGGCTTATGATCCCCTCCATCTGCAAAGCTAGCAATGACCAGTCGAGTCTCTCTGACACTGTTACCAATGTGACCCTGCTTCTCCTGCCTCTCTCTTTCATTTATGAGGATTTACCTGATTACAGTGGGTCCTCGAGAATAATCCAGGATAATCTCCCCATCTCATGGTCAGCTGATTAGCAATGGTAATTCCATCTTCAACCTGAATTCACCTCTGCCCTGCAATGTGACTTATTCATGGTTGCTGAGGATTAGGACATGGACATCTTTGGGAGGCTGTTACTTTAGCTACTGCGCATAGCATGCAGAGTTGAGCCCTGTGTAGGTTGTACTCCAGCCTTCTTTTTCCTCAACCCCTGTCTCCCCCTCCTTATCCAGATGCAGTATTGCCACATATGGCCAGATGGGGCATAAATCCTCTAACTGCATGAAGAATTAATGGACTGGGCTAGTGGCTTTTAAATTGTATGCTCCTTACATTTTATCTCAGGGCAGCAAATGTTTTTGAGTTGTCTGCTCTTCATTTTCTCAACAAACACCTTTTGAATACCTATGTGCTGAACTCTATTACGTACTGGGGATCAGCCATGCACAGTATGGGCAAGCTACCTGTTCTCTTGGAGCTAATGGGTTGGTGGAGACTGACAAACACTAAAACACCAAATAAACAGGGAAAGTGCCAGCTGCTAATAAATGCTAGGCAGAGGAGTAAAAGCAGCAATGAATGACTGGGTGGCTGGCTAGTGGAAGAGGAAGGAGGAGGGTTTCTGAGAACTGAATGGCAAGGAACAGCCAGTCATGTGGAAAAAGGGGAGAGAATACTCCAGCCCAAGGGTAGTACAAAGGCAGGAATGAGTTTTCTGTTGGAGAAACAGAATGTAGCTAGAGTTTAATGGGCAAAGGGAAAATGGTATGAAGTGTGCGCCAAGGGAGGGTAAGTGCCTGGTCACACCCTTGTAAGCCATGGTAGAGAATTTGGGTTCCATGAATGATGGAAAAACATCAGAAAGTTTCTAAATAGGTTTTCTCCTTTATTGAGATCACTTGGCTATTTTGTGGAGGATGAATTGCAGGATAGCAAGAGTGAAGAAGAGAGACGATGTGTAAGCTTTGCGAAAGCCCGTCCTGTGGATAATGGTGATTAGACTAAGTTGATAGTGGAAATGGAAATAATATTCACAGATCTGGGATATAGTTAAAAGGAAATTGAATTGACAAGACAACAATGGGATGGATACAGGGAGTGAGAGCTGGATGGAAGTGAAAATAATTCCTAGATTTGAGGATTGAGAGGTGCTGCCATTTCCTGGGGTAGGGAATAGAGATGAAGAGCAGTTGCTGGGGGCAGGGAGGGGGACCAGAGTTCTGTTTTGACCATGTCAAGGTTGAGATGCCCATGTGATATCAAAGATGAGTTGTTCCGGTCCATTGTCAAATTAATAGTGATTATCTCTTGGTCATGGAGTTAGAAAGATGTTTATTCTCTTCATTTTCCAAGCTTTCTAAAATGTGTAAGTATTATATAAATAACGTGGAATCAGTACATGCTGTGTAAAAATATTTTTCTCTAGAAATTCATATTTCTCTATTTTTAATTTTATATATATGACATGTATGTAAATATTAAAAATCCTAGTAGGCTTTCTCCCATCACAGAGTAATTTCCTAGCTGTTTTTTTTTTCCCACTACTATTTATTCCTGTGAATTCCCTTCTGACCTTCCCTTCTTTCTCTGTGCTGCTGAAGGAGAGGGCTTACACATCGGTTCACTGATAAACAAGACCCTGCACCCATCCCGGAGGCAGACACGTTTATCTTTCATTTCTCTGTGTCACTGTACACAACATAGAGTTTTGTTGATTTGTCCCTTTGCCTTTTATATTCTATGGCTGCCATTTTCTATTCCAGTACCCTTTCCATTTTATTTTATTTGTCACTGATTTTATTTTGCTTTTCCTGTGAAATGTTTATCCTAAAATGCATCTACAAGTCATTCGTGGTTCTGGTTGGATACAGTTAAGCATTTTGCTGGATGTATTTAAGAATATATTTCTCTCGTATCTGTAGGTTTCTCTTGGTAGTGTCTTTGAAAGCAAGCACAATGCTTGGATGCAAAAATGTCATCCTAAAAAGTCATGTTACTCATGTCATAACTAGAGTGCTGCATCTTTCTCTGAAGGCTGACTCAAGGGACATTTTGGGGATGGGTATGATTATTGTCTTCTGAGGTAATCTGGAAGTAGCTATGAATGTCAAACATGTCTAATTTTCCATTTAAAACCATAATGGAGGGCAACCCTGGTGGCCCAGTGGTTTAGTGCCGCCTTCGGCCCAGGATGTGATCCTGGAGACCTGGGATCGAGTCCCACCTCAGGCTCCCTGGATGGAGCCTGCTTCTCCCTCTGCCTGTGTCTCTGCCTCTCTCTCTCTCTCTGTGTGTGTGTCATAAATAAATAAAATCTTTAAAAAAATAAAAAATAAAACGTACTGGAGGGACGCCTGGGTGGCTCAGTGGTTGGGCACCTGCCTTTGGTTCAGGTCTGATCCCAGGATGCGGGATCGAGTCCCACATCAGGCTCCCTGCGAGGAGCCTGCTTCTCTCTCTGCCTGTGTCTCTGCCTCTGTCTCTCAGTCTGTGTCTCTCATGAATAAATAAATAAACCTTTAAAAAAAAAACCACACTGAAGATAACCTTTGATAAATTGTGTAGCCTACGTTTGAAATCTGCCCCTGCGCATTCTCATGGTTATGAACTCCACACGTGAATAAGGCAGAATTTATTTGCATTCTTTCTGCCGTTGTTTCCTTGGGTTCTACGTTCCAGTTTGCTGGCGAGACCGAGAGCTTACTGTGTCTCTGTTGACTCCCAGTTTTGTAGACTTGATTACTCCCTTTCACTTTTCCTCCATTATGACAGAGTAGTTGTAAGCTCTTTTCCTAGTCCTTCAAGTGGCCTGCCTTACACTCTTGTTGGGTCAAGGATGGCTTTATTGAGTGTGTAACCAAAACTGTGCATTTATTCTTGCCTCCATGAAGACATCAGCGCATTCCCTATTTCACTTTCTATATTATTTCTTTCTGATGTTGTGGAGGTTTTAGCTGAGTTTTCATTTTAGGTTCATGTCAGTATAAGATAAGACCAAGTTAGGACATAATCCTTGGATATGCTGTGTGAGCCAAGTCTTTGGGGAGGATTAGTGCTGTTGATAACCCAAAATAGTTGCCAATGCTGATGCCATCATTTGGTGATGATTATTTGTAGGGATTCCTGTGTATATGCATATTTTCAGTTCTCCTACACCTAGAGGATATTTAACTGAGAAAACTCTAATGAATGAAAAATTACTCTGGATTGCTGAAGCATACAAGAGCTGATGGAAGGAAGGGATCATTGGGAGAAAAGACTTGGTTGGATGATAGGAAGAACCACTCTGGGATTAAATGATTGCTTTAGATAATCCTCAAAATGAGTTAATCCATGTGAATTAATCAGCTTTGAGGGCAGCTTTGTTGTCCTTGGGTTTTAAAAAGGAGAGTAGAGAAGCCAATATCCAGTCAAGTTCCAAAAAAGTAATTAAAAAGTAGAATGGTTTCTCTAGGAGAAACAAGAAGGGCTTGAGGTTGGGTACATTTCCTCCCTCCTTACCTCCCCTTTTCACCTGGTTCTATCTTCTGAGTGCCCGTAGTGATCTGCTTACCCTGTTCTAGCACATCCACCAGGGCACCTTACTGGGGTGTATATACGTCTCTGAACCATATACTCATTGGTCTGTAAGCAACCGGAGTGAACAGCCTACATCTCATTTATATCTTAGGTGGCCAAATGGACTCACCTGGTGCCTTGCATATAATTGATCCTCCACAAATGTAAAAGTATGTTTTTAATTTTATCATAAATAACGAGTGACTTTATAACTCAACCATGACACGTGTCAGAAAATTGTGTTCTGGGAAACAAGCTTCCATTGGAGAAATAGAGGAGGTTTTAAGATAAGAGATGAACCCATATTTTCTAGACTACAGGGGTAGTCTAATAAATTTCTAGAGAAGGAGGTGAAATTTCCATCCCTGGAGATCCTTGAAAATTGCACGCAGGAAAGATCTGGGAGGAGGACTGAAGCATCATACCTATTTTGGGGCACACAGGTAGAATGACAGACGATTCTGTGATTCTTTGATGGCTTGGCCTGGAGGAGAAAAGACTGAGGGGAAACAGGAAAACAGTGGTCCATGCTTTCTGTGGGAAAACAAGTCATGGGAGCTTAACCTAAAGCCTTAGACATTTAGATTACATTTTACGGTTAAGGCTTTTGAGACCTAGGCTGTGAAATCCTGTGGAAACCTGCAAAATAGAAGATTGATTTGTGTGAGACCTGGAGTCAACTCTGTGATTCTGTGGCAGGGAAAAACAGTATTTTTTAGAACAATATTTTAAGAGAATTATTCCAACACACTATATTCAGTGTACTCTAAAACTAGTATTTTCGGGCCCCAAGCCTCATCGCAGCTTTGTGGAAAGGAGTGGGGAGTAGGTAACAGGTGTGAGGTCCTTTCTATGTAAATACCTTTGCAGGATTGTGTTACTAGATCAGCAGCCAGGGGGTGAGAAGGAGTCTGGGACACAGCTCTGCCTTGCTGGGTCAGCCTTGTCTTCATCACTGACCCTCCTCCCTGTGAAAATGCAGAAGGTGGAGGGGAAGGGCTGCAAAAACCCTGTGCAGTTTCAACATTCAGCCACATGATGTCACAATTGGATTTTTATTTTCACTGTGCATTTGTCTCCAATAATAGATGAAGGCGTTTTCAAAGCTGGAGCAGAGAGGTCTGAGACACGGGGAGCAGCAGAAGTCCAAGAAGATGAAGACACTCAAGTTGAGATCCCAGTTGACCAGGTAGTCGCCATGTTTTCAAAAATATATGTAAGCTGGTGACCACTTTTTTCTTTCAAGTTTTGTGTTATCTGCTCCAGGCTATTACTACGCATATGCTGGTTCAAACCTCTCAGGTGCTGGGTGGCCAAGTGACCTACAACATACCTTCAGGTCTTCCTAATATTTCTACAAAGAATAGCCATTTGGGCTGTCCTTTAAAAAATTTTTAGACTTTTTTTATAATCATAGAAAATGATGTAATTTAACAAATAGCATTGAAGAATGAGGTGGATTGGGGTAAACCCTGAGATACAGAGAGGGAGAAAGTTTGATAAAGAAAAAAAATATTGGGGAAAAAAAAAGAATGTTGGCTGGGGTTTTTTATCTTGAAAAAAAGTCCTCCATTTAGAAAAGCAATTTTTAAAAAATGCTGTGATATTCTCTCCTTTAAGATCCTTGGAATTGTTGTGGGTGGAATTTATTTTTCATAAAATAATTGCTTAGACAAATACAATTTGCTATGTGTGTCTTGATTTCAGACCAATGGAACACTGTACTCATAGGAGTGAGAGAATGAGCGTGAGTGTGTGGTGTGTGTGTCTGTACATGTTCTTGTAGAAGGGATGAAGTAGTGTTAGTGTTGGTTAAATGATGCAAAAAATAAGTCAGTTAGGCTTTTTAATACAATTCAACCAGATTTCTTACATTGCTAAATGGAAGATGGGAATTGAGTTGGGGAGGGGGAAATCATCACCCCAGGTTCAGGGGAATGAGAAGTCACGAGGAATTGCCACTTGTCCTCTGACTATTATGGTATTTCCTTTTCGGAAAGCAAATTTCACAATCCAGCAGGTTCCATAGATGATCTTCTCAATTATGTTTGTCTTAACAGTGTGGCAGTGAAATTGCTGCTCGATTATTCCACAGGCATTTCCCATAAGCATCGCCTTCCTGATGAAAAGCCTAATGTGTTAAAAATCACACAGATTTCAAAAATCCAATTTATTACCCAGGATTAGCTACAACTCATAATTTTTCATAAACTCCAGTTATAGGTATTTTTTTCCCTGAGGGAAAATGGAATTTTAAGTCTTCTCTGAAGCTATAATTAAATGTTACATTTTAAGACAAAGAAGACTAATCATCATGTCTATTCAGCCCCTGACAGCTGCCCCAAAACAAGACGAATGGATTCCAAAGTCAAAACGCCAGATATCAAGAGAAAAAAATCTTACCATTATTACCAAAAGAGAAATCTCTTTGTTAAAAATCACTTAACATGTTTCAAAATCTGTGCTAGGTATTTCTTTACTTGTAAGTTTGGTATTGTAGGGAAGTGGGGAGCTGATGGATGGAATGGTCTCTGATACTACCAGAACAGCCTGGGATAAGTGTGTGCAGAGCTTCGTTTCTTATCTGACTGGGGAGGGTTAGCTTATTAAAATACAAGTATGGAGAGAAAGTGAGTCAACGGATTGGTAGAAGCCAGGCAGCATCAACAATGATGTTGGTTTGAAGGAAATAAAACTGGGTAACAAAAGGTAAGAATTCCTTTCTTCTTTGATCCTATTAATAATAGAGCTGGAACTGGCTAGCACATGTGGCTGGCAAGACATACTTAGGGGGGTCAGGTGTTAGAGTCATTCCCTCTATGGGCCGGTGAGCTTTTGCTCCATATCCTAAGCAGCTATGGTGTGGAGAAATGCGTGGAAAGCTCCATTACAGTTAGAACAACTCTGAGGATGTACTCTCATGGTGTTCTTTGTGAAGCGGTCGGTACCCTTTACTAAGTACCTACCAAGCGCCAGGCATCGTCCCAGGCACTTTTATCTCATGTAATTGTGTTGACAGCCCTGAAACATAGGTCTTATCACCCCTACTTTATATATAGAAGGCAAGTGTGCTCATGGCAGGTAGAATTGCTTGTCCAGGATTGTACCATTACATAGAGGAGTTTGTTTTTGAATGCACGTCTGTCCAATTCAAAGTGTATGAATGATCCAGGGAAAGAGTATTAAATGCAACAACAACAACAAAAACAAAAACAAAAAAACTCCAAAAGCCAATTATTAGATTAATGAAGGAAAAAATTCCTGCGTAAGAAAGGAAAATGTAGTCATCGTATACTACTTGGCTCAGCTATAAATGACACTTGCATACACTCCCTTTTGGGCCATACCTAGTTAACTTCTTTGGACTGATTTCCTTTCATCCAAATGGTTCATATTATGACTTTAGTCAGAGGGCCATGGACAAGCGTGTGTGTGCATGCGTGCATGTGCATGTGTGTGTATGTATAAATATCATGTGTAATTGGCCAAGTAATTTATCTCTGCCTGAAAAGCAGATCAAGTTTTAGAGGTAAATATTGCTAGGAGCCAATTCTCCATGGATCCCTTGTGTTTCTGCATATCTTATGAGCAGAGAGACGGATTGCCTTTGTTCTGGACTATCTTTTCTTTTTTTCCTTTTTTGGACTGTCTTTTCAAAGATGTTTGAATTAGCTTGGAAGACAGATGTAGTGACTTCCTCTGGAACAATCATTGTCAACTGGAGGCAGTCTTGCCTCTAAGGGATGTTTGGCAATTTCTGGGGACATTTTTGATTGTTAAAACTGAGGGAGTACTCCTGGCATCTGGTGGGAAGTGGCCAAAGATGCTGCTAAATATCTTGTAATGCGCTTGACAGCCCTCACAACCAAAAATTATCCAGTCCAAAATGTTAATAGTGCTGAGATGAGAACCCCTGGTGTCAAGCAAAGGCCAGGTTTGTTTATTGTCCAATATAATAAAGATAATGTCTTCCTGTGATGCAAGGGTCAGGGAGATTTAGTATCTATTATAAAAAATATGGTGCCATCAAACCATATGCTCAAAACTAGTCAAAATTGGGAGCAGCTGGGTGGCACAGTCGGTGTAGGATCCGATTCTTGGTTTTGGCTCTGGTTGTGATCTCAGGGCCTGGGATCGAACCCTGTGTTGGGTTCGTGGAATCTTCTTAAGACACGCTTCCTCTCCCTCTGCCCTTCCCACTCCTGTATGCGTACTCTCTCTCTGTGTCTCTCAAATAAATAAATACATCCATCTGAAGAAGAAGCTAGTCAAAATTGCCAATGTTATGTTACGTATGTTCTGGCACAATAAAAGTATTCAGAAAAGATTGGGTTCTTTCCATGGTGATATCCTGGCTACTGCTCTTGTTGTGAGCAATAAAGTTCTTTGTCTCTGACCCAGGAGTCTCATGTCTTTGGCCATGTCCATGAAATCATGGCAGGCTAATGAGTAAGCTTGTAAGTAGGGTAAAACTTCAGACCTTCCATAGGGCTTGCCTCTGCTGCATGGTGTGTGTATGTTTAAGTGCATGTAAATGTGGACTAATTGTAGCTAAGAACATGGCTCTTCTCTGTCCCGATGTTCAGACTCTTGTCATTTTTTAGATGATCTTGGATCTAATACTACTCCCAAACCCATGGGAAACTGAAGAATGGCACGTTTTTTTTTTTTAAATGTATTTGAGGAGGCCAGAATAAATATTGCTTCTCAGGAGAGAGTTTAGGTCTAACAAGAATAAAGTACTCTTTTAAAAATTAATTTTTTTTGCATGCACACTCCCAATTAGTCTGATTTCTCCTAAGCAGTGGAGCAAGTGGTTACATCCTGGCACTGGTGACTCATGTGGCACTTATAAATTGATGCTTTTCCAAGCTAAGGAGGTAAGAAATGAGCCTGCTCCGAGTTAAGTAAACTGCCTCTAATAAGATCAAGTGGAGAACCCACCATCATCTCAGAAACCCAAGTAATCAAATATCTATAAAATAGGCAAATAAGAAGTTATATTTTGGATTTTGTAACCTTGTAAAAGAGGGCAGAAGATGGGTATAGTAACTTTTGAGTGGTTTCGGATTATTTTATAGCTCTCCTCATCCATTTGCAGTTAATTTTAAAGAGTAAAATAATGAGAATTACAAGATTTTTTTATGCTAAGTAGTTTCATTAAATAACATTTTAGCTATATCATGAACACTGGAGCAGTGAAAGCTTTTTTATTTTAATTGGAGATTGTGATATATACACTTCTTGTTTATTTAAAATATCATTAACCATTAATAAAGTTACACATATAATATTTTTTAGAATTTAGCAACAATTACAGCAAAGGTAGCAATGCCATGCCTCACCCCTTCTCACCTGGTTTCCTGTTCCACAGAGATAACCCATGTGAACCAGTTCCATTCTTTCTCGTAGAATACACCATTATATTTGTCAACCATACAGCCTTCCCTCTCTTCCATTTTAATACCTCTGAAATCTTCGGATCTTTTTTTTTTTAAGATTTTATTTATTTATTCATGAGAGACAGAGAGATAGAGAGGCAGAGACACAGGCAGAGGGAGAAGCAGGCTCCACACAGGGAGCCCGATGTGGGACTCGATCCTGGGACTCCAGGACCATGCCCTGGGCTGAAGGCAGGCACTAAGCTGGAGTCACCCAGGGATCCCAAAATCTTCAGATCTCAAAAGTGATTGCATGTCATCGTTTAATTGGCTTTTTCCCGTTTTATTCTAAGAGGTACATAAAGAGGTCTAGAGGACATCCTTTTAAATAGGTGTCATCTCCAATTTAATAAAATAAGTTTCTTGATTTTAGTTTTCAGATTTAGATATGATTAACGTTCTCTCTAATGCCCCTGGAAGACGGTTATTTAAAACTCTTACTCTTCCCACCCTCCAGTAAGGCCACATGCCCGTGCGCTCGCACACACGACCCTCTCAGTTCTCTCCACTCTGATTTTGTGATGATTTTTGGTTAAGTCAGTATTTAATCTGCATGTCATTTTTACCATGTCAGCTTTATTATTGTTAGTTGAGCCACAGAGTGGACTCTTGTTACATTTCCTGAGTACCACTCTCTTCCTCCTTCCTATTTTAGTACTTGTCTTTTTTATTCATTTGCTTAGTTTTCTGTGTAGCTATTACCAAGCCATTTCTAGACTCTGCTAGGCAGTTGACTTCTTCTTACTCT